GCGATTGTCCTCCCGCTCCTCAAACAGACCCAAATCGGCAAATTTGGACGGAATTCACAATACACTAATATTAGGGAGATTTTTTTGGGTCAAATTTGGCGCAGGTCAAATGCGCAACTCGCGTTTTGGGTCAAATTTGGATCAACTCTCTTTAACCCTCGTCAAGGGTCAACCAATGGTCAATTTTATCATCGCAGACAGGTAAAATCTTTTGCGCCAAGCATAATACATTCTTAATCAATAAATATTAACTTTGTTGTAACCAACCCGAACAGTTTAATATTTCAATACTAAATAAATCGAGCTGCTGCCGTTACAAAACCACAATTTGGGATGTACAAATTTGGAATATGCGCTTCAGTTTCAGCTACAACAAAATAAAAAATAAAAACGTCCAAGGACTACGTGTATCATCGCATAAAGGGTCTTTCAATTCTTCCAAACAACCCCCCCCCCCTCACCCCCGTCTTCCACCCCGCGTCAATCAAGATGGCCGACCAACATTCTTCAAGCAATTCGGATGAATCCGACCTCAGCTATCGCTACTCTGGTAGCCAATCCGGCGGCTCTCCCGACTCTGGTATCCACTCCGACGGTCACGACTCTGACATGAGTGTGGATACGGTTATTATACCGAGTCAATCATCCACCTCTGACAGGGACGAGAATGATGGTCTTCAAGTTGAAGCTGCCAACAGTGATGTTGGTGGCGACCTTGTCGACGGTGTTGTCGACGTCCCCTTCAAAATCGGTGCAGTATCAAGGGTACTCCTACTCGTACTACCACGGGGAAGACACAAATCACTACCGCTGCAGCGCTTATCGACGGACCAAGTGCAACGTGAAGCTGTACGTGTCGCAATTGGGTGCGGTGGTGCAAGGGACCCATTAATCAAATTGCGTCCCAGAAATGCGTTAAGTTCCGACGGGGCCACCACCAATGTTCGTCAACTGGAAGCAGCAAATGCTGCTTGCGACGGACCAAATTGGGATTCGCGATGTAACGCTACCCCCGAACGATGTATGGAGAATGGTTAGAGACCAATTTCTCGATGACGACAATGTCATTGTCGAAGGCGCGACCAAAAACCAAGTTTTGGGTCGTTTGTACAGGACCAGAACTAAACATTT